TAATATTCATACAAATCTAGTTACTTATGTACCAAGTCATATTTCCTTTGTGATTTATTATGTGACCATACTTCAAAAAAATTAAAACCATTTTCCGGTACTCACAATATCATTCGTTTGCTTGTTAATCCGGTGAATTATTCGGAACAATAGTTTAAATTGGAAAATATGATTTATAACTTAGGTTACATATATTATTAAAATGGAAACTGTCTTATATAATGTGTGCAAACAACATAAGAGTTTCCCAATCACTCTAAAAACATTTTAGAGTAGAACAAAAAGAAAATATAGAGAGATAAAACTATTTCGTATAGTATACCGTCGAAGAAAAATATGGGGATCTTCTTTCTTCATATGAGCTTTTTTTTTCAAGCCAAACCAAAACGCGAAACGCCAAAAGTCAAACGCGAGACACGGACAACATAAAGGAACTCTCTAAGACTTTTGCTGAAGCCAAACAGGGAGCCAAGAAGTTCCATCAATAAAATCAATGGACAAGAAAGACTCAACTTCTTGTTTGGTAAGCTCTTTGGCCCAATCAGATCTATGTTGCCTCTCAGCACCTGGTCCATGACACTTATACTCCGCATGGTATAAGTTCCTGATATCCAAGTCTCAAGAGTATTAGTATACACATAAACAATAAATTACTATGCAAGTTAGGTCAAAGTAATTAAGTAATAATGATTAGAGACTAACTGGGTCGAGCCATCGTAGCTCCAGTTGGTCCAACCGTTAGGAACAACGGTCTTGGACAAGTAAGTCTTAGCAAATATGACCCGAGAATAAGGTCCTTTGGCTCGTCCCAAGTAAACCTCATCGATTCCGTACACTTTGCCTCTTATGAACACATAACCCGTATTTTCCTCTGCGTGTTCCCTGTGGTGTGCTGTAATTGACCCATACGGTTTCACCCTCTTGTCCGAAATCACAAATATCTCACAATTCTGTAACGATTTTGGGAAAGAAAAAAAGAATGAGAAAAGGTTAAAATTGTGGTATATTATTGGCGGTCATCTATATGTTAAGTTATAGAGAATGTGTTAGTGGGAAAAACGTACGTTGAAAATGGAAGTTGCACGACCAAAGATGAAGTCGATGGAGCCTTGGATGTAACATTCATGGTAATAGTGTCTACCTTTGTTATCAAACAAAGTGTTGTGCAAGCTGTAGAACGCACAATGGTAAAACGCTACTTTATCAGCAGCCACAAACGCTGCCACCGATTGGTTCTCAGACGTGAACGCCATTCCGATTGGTGCATCATTCTGTACGTTAGGTTCATCACAAAAATTCATTAAGACACCAGTGTCATTTCGTAATATGAAATAAAAAAGAAAATCTACAATTGTGTGTGATACATACTCTGATGCTGATACCAAAAGCAACGAAGTGGTTAGCTTCGACTTTGAAAGTGGCTGAAGCAACATTGTCGACCGAACTTTGCGAAGATTCGATGACCGTTTTTCCTTTTCCATTACCTCTCATGAATATGAACGGCTTGTTCTCAGGAATGTGCACTCTCTCCCTTTTTTTTTCCAACAAAATAAAAATCATCAAATTCAAATTAAGAAATGTCATAAATATCATTTACATAATTCCATAATTGTACAGTGAAAATTCATCTTTGCATTCGATAACAATAGTAATACGTTCTAGATTTCTAAACTTGGTTATATATGTATGTTGTATAATATGGTTTGCGTGCGCATATGAAATATTGTAAAATGTTAGATGTCGTAAAAGCATGCGTACTTGTAGATTCCTTTACGGACATGGACGATAATCCAATTAGAGTTACCAACAGGGACAGCATCAATGGCTTTTTGAACCGAAGTGTAGTCTCCTTTGCCTTCAATATCGACAATTATCGATCTATTTGTTGCGATTTTTTCAGTCAGAAGGGGTGCGTCGAATTTCGTCTTTTGCATTGCTGATGCGTCCAAACCCCATACGGACATTACAACTATGCTTAAGACAAGGATCATTCCTGTTCGATGATCCATCTCAATTTTGGTTTATTTTTTTTTGGAGGAGGGGTTCTAGTTTTCTTTTTGGAATGGGGATGTTATAAAGAGATTATATTGGTGAAGGAAATGGTTAAATTTAAGAAAAGAGGTTTTTAAATTTAGGGTGTTTGGTTGTGTTTGTTTTGTTTTGGGAGGTAAGGGATTTTGGAGGAAGAGATGGTTTTTTCTTAGGGTTTTTTTTTTTAATTTATTTTTAGACATTTATTATTTATTATTTATGGACGAAAATACTTTGAGGAATATTTCTATCTTTGGTAAAAAATAAAAAAAGAAGATTGTTGTGTACTGTATATATATAAACCATTCATTTTCCACAGAAGTTCGAATTTAAAATTTGTCGACTGATCTACATTACTATTGACTCTTTTTTCATTGTTTTATTTACTAGTGTTGTTTTGATAGTCACATTTTTTTTTTTCTTTTACAATGCTCTACACTAATATTGGTTTGGCTCCATACCGGTTGTCATGTTCCAATGTCCGAGAATGTTCATGGCCTTATATATATATAGGCTAGAGGGTCCAATCTGGCATGGTATATACTCACGCGCTACAGATAGGACTTAGGAAGGTGCTAAGTGTTAACTATGCATCTATAACCAATGTGGTACCAAGTTACCTACAAGAACTTACTTTACTCACGGGCCATGAAAATCTCAAGAAAAACAGCCAAGTCCACCAATTAAAAATCAAACATATCTCCATGATTATATACCAAAATCATAAATGATATTTTCTTAATAGATTAATTAAGCGTTCTCTCTTTATATATAGCCATATAGGTTACAGTGTGAAGCATGCTTTGTGGTTAATTCTCCATAAGTTATGATAGAACTTTAAAGTTGGTCAGGGTCACCTGAGAATGTGAACATGAACTTGCCAGTGTTTATCGGTCAGGTGGTCGAATCTTCAAAAGCTAAGGTTGCAGCTAGTTTTTCGGACGGGTTTTACTCCAAATAAGCCATCGTGGTATTTCGTAGCACTCCATCTTGAATTGATACACTACAAGAAATAAGGTAGATAACATCACTTATAAAGTACAGTCTGATATTGTTAGATTATGCATTGTTTTCTGCTTACTTATGGTATCTAAACCGTGGGATTGACCAACTTTTGATGTTAGGATGATTGAGTTAGAGATGATATCGAGATTTTGTCATGGTTTATAAATTTTGCACCAGTAATGTTAGATCGTTTTTTCTGGTATGAAAGGTTCGTAAATCGTAATAAAATACGTTTTCGTTTGCAAAGATTTATGTTAATCGAGGGAAAGAAAAAAAAAACAGGAGGTCTATAAATTTCAAGTGTACAGTATTCACATGAGATGTTAAGTATTAGTCGTTTTCAATGTATTAATGATATTGAATTTGGTAAAATAAATTATTATAACTGTGATGAGGTAGGACCAATATATTCGATTAAAGAAAGGCTATTTAATAAGGGATATATTTTGTCTTGAACAAGTCCAGAAAGATCAGAATAATGAGGAATGGGGTAGCACAGAAAGAAGAAACCCAACATTAAGCCTTCAATGTTGTTAATTGTAAAATTTGATCACTACAGTGATATCCATTGCAATTACGTACATCATATTTAAAATTATTTTTAAAACTTCAAATATGTTGAAATATACAACTTTTTATTAATAAAAAGGAGAAAGTATAAAGAAAGTAACATTATGCGGATCTGGGGAAAATAAAACGTAATTGGAAAGTTTTTAGGATAACGAAGGGAAATAGTGAAGTCAGAGTTCCCACGTTTGTAAAAACAGCTAAGGATATTAATTTCACCGAAAATTCGTATTAACTATAGTCTCACCAATACGACTATTTACTCGTCTTTTTCTAAGACCCTACACTCTTGTGTGTGTTACTTTTCTGTTCGGTTCTTTTTCTGAATACATATTGATTGCGCTCCAATTATTTTAAATCTTAAAGATAACGCTTATCTGAATTCCTCCGAAAAAAATAAATATAACTAATTTACGTTTCACTAAAACAAAATGAGGAAAACAAAATTTCCTGCTTTCTTTTAGTCTAACCAAGATAATAAAGGGGGCGTACATGTCACATGTGTATGCATATGAATAAACAAAGGCATACGTGAAATCAAACCTAACTGGTCACATTATGCATGCATGGTGCTTTAATTTACTCATTCTCTGTATTGTCTTAATCTTAATCAACTGTTTCTACTTTGCTCCTACCTATAACCATTTATTGAATCAAACCGGTCAACTGGTTCACTACTTTCTTTTAAACCAAATGCGAGATTTCAATGCTCATGCACTGCAACATCATAGTAACATCGATAGATTCGATTGCGAAATTGTAAACCAAACTTAACCGGAAATATATTAGTCTTTAATCTAATACCAATTTTGGCCGGTATCTATGTTCAGTTGACTTTTTAATAACGAATGTCACATTGGTACAGCGAAATTTCAATTACGTTCGCTTAGAATTCGAATGAATCAACCGAAGAAATCGAGATAAATAAGAGCAGCCGGTATAATGTGGGTTCCGTATCTTCCCTTAGGTTCGTCATACCAACATCCTTTACATAAGTAAACCTAGCAACCTGTATCGTATACATGAAATCGTGGGGGTAAACCAAACTTAACCGAAAATTCGAGAACCTATCGGTTAAAATCAATTTCATGTCTTTTTTTCTTTAATAGTAGTCAGTTGGGATTATTAATGTCACGTCCCTTGCTTCGGCTTCCTATATATAGATACACATCCAAAGGCAGATATACGAGTCATCGTCTCTTAAAGTACCGATTTTGATTAACTCAATTCTAAAAAAAAAAGAGCGAGAGAGAGAGAGATAGAGAGAGTGATGAAACCAAAGAGCAAAGCTGCAGCTTCTGCATCGTGTTTTCTTGTCATGGTCATCAGTTTGTTATGTAGCTGCATTAGTGGCGATCAAATGGAAACTAATTATGAAGGCTTATCTTACAATTACTACGAGAAAACATGTCCAAAACTCGAAGATATCGTGAGATCTTCGATTTCACCAATGTTTATACTTGATCCTACGTCTCCTTCAGCCTTGCTTAGGCTTATGTTTCATGACTGCCAAGTTCAGGTTCTCTATCTCTACATACCTCCATATCTCTCTAAAATATTCTCAATTATGGCTTTGTTTTTAACTCAAAAGGGTTTAGTTTACAAAAGGTGCTTATTTATCATCTTAAGGATTTGATTTACACTATTGAGTGAATTAACAACACGAATGCGGTAATGTCGTCTTTAAAGTATGCCAAACTTGGATATTGGTAATCTCTATTTTCTAATATATTTTCTGACATGAATTTTATTTTATTTTCTTTTAACCAAAAGATTTTTTTTTATTTTGGTTCTATATAAACGAACAAAATTTGAGATGTTTTCTATATGAACGTATATTGTTGTTAATGTAGTTAATTTATTGGGTTTTGCATGTCATCCATAAATTTGAGAAGGACAACAAGGCGCGGAAAAGTTGCTAAGACCACTTTAAGTAGTTAAACACGTCACGGTCCATTGTGGACTATATATAGGAAGCATGAAGTAACTTTTGCCATGTTAATGCGCGTCATATCATAAAATCATTTATAATAATGGTATTGTAACTAGATTTAATTTATAGCTTAGGCTAAATAGTAAAACCATTTTCACTAATCGGATACATAGAAGAAGAAGAAAATGACAAGGATCAGTTGATTTGGTCGAGAGTCTTGAATATATTATACAATCCCTTAATTTTAATTTAATCTAGCGATCCATTAAACTTAAACTACGTACATTCATGAGAATCAAATAGTTTTGTATTTGTACAAGTCACAATTTCGATAGTATTTTAGAGAGATCTAAAAAAAACTAAACTACGAATTTACTGCATCTCATTAAATTGTCGGGGAACAAATGGCTACTGCATTTTCACAGGGCTGTGACGCATCGATCCTAATCGAGCCAAGTGGGGACCAGAACCAGTTCACAGAGATCTATTCAGCCAAGAACTTCGGAATCAGAAAGAGGGAACTGATTGGCTCAATCAAAACCTCACTGGAAGCCGAGTGTCCCAACCAAGTCTCTTGCTCTGATATCATCATCCTCGCCGCAAGAGAAGCCGTCGCTCTCACGGGTGGTCCACTCATCTCCGTGCCATTAGGAAGAAAAGACTCTCTCTCCACTCCTAGCAAACACGTGGCTGACTCTGAGCTTCCTCCCTCCACTGCTGACGTGGACACTATCTTAAGTCTTTTTGCTGGCATGGCCATGACCGTCGAAGAGTCCGTCGCCATTATGGGTATACTATACAACATCATCTATTTTCTTATATTCTTACAAGACTTTATCACTTTATATATCTATCCTGCATGGGCTTAATTATCTTATGTATAACGAATTATTGGGTTTGCATTTTTATTTCTTATAATAATAAGTAATAAGACTTTTGGATCATGCATATTTTTTTCATATAATTGATAGCACTTGCTTTTGTTTTTCTTTTGTTTGCATGCAGGTTCACATACTTTAGGAGTTACACATTGCAACAACGTACTATCGCGTTTCGATAACGCAAACGGGACGAACGCTAACATGGATCCACGTTTTGAAACGTTTTTGCGAGTTGTATGCCCAGAATTTTCTCCATCCTCCAAAACTGCGGAAGCTACATTTGTTCCAAACGATCAAACTTCGTTGACCTTCGACACGGCTTATTACGATGATGCCATAGCGGGTCGTGGCAATCTCAGAATCGACTCGGAGATTGGAGCCGACCCACGTACACGCCCTTTTGTAGAAGCGTTTGCGGCTGATCAGGATCGTTTCTTCAACGCTTTCTCTTCTGCGTTTGTAAAATTGTCTTCTTACAAGGTGTTAACCGGGAATAATGGAGTGGTTAGAAGCGTGTGTGACAAGGTTTAGGTTGATGTATATTTATTATTATCAAATGATGTTCTAACTCATTAGTAAAAAATATTAATTAGTAGTGTGAATCATATTATATATTGATACATTGTTTCGAAAATTCATCCAAAATTATTTAACAACAAGACATATTATACTAAACTAGTTAACATTAAGGTTAACCAAGTCTTGAGATATCATAGAAACACAAAAAGGAGAGGTCAATACCATAAACAGTATACCGTGTTTTTTACGTAAAAGGCGTCTTAATTAATTTATAGCTCAAACGGAAGATCATAATCAGTACTGCCCCAAAAGGAATTTAGTGCTATCGCCGTTGTTATCACAGTATCACTAACCGTCCCAAGTCACTAAACTCGCTGATGAAAGCGACAACGGTGGATCTTACTACATATAGGTAACAATATATATCCAATCAGATGACCAAAAAAAATAGAACAGGACCCAACTTTTAAATTTGCTTGAAGGACGATGCAGCAGTTCAGAACTGGCCACATTGATCATTAATAACAATTGAAAAATAAATATGACAATACAAACCCTTCGTCTTTTATTGAATCTTTTTCCAAAAATATAGGCTCTATCTGATAGATTTTCTAGAGTAACAAGTGGAATTAAAAAGAAGAAAAAACTAGAGGAAAATAAATTCTAGGGGCTAATGTTTTCCTCATGAGTTTTGTAGAGGATATTGTTTTTTTCTCTCTCTTATTAGTTATTCCTTTCTTTAATGTTTTCCAACAAAAAAAAAAAGATTGAAAAAACGCACCTTGTTCTTATTTGATTGATGCAAACAAAATGAATATAGAGTAAAACCTAGTTATAATAAAATAATTATTACGCTAATAACTGGTTTTACTAAAGCTCTGTAATATTCATCAAGGCTCTAAATGGTGACCAATAATAAGAATGAGGAAGAAAAGAATTAATAGGAATAGAATATATAATAAGAATATAGTTTTCTTTTTGTTCCTCTTCGAATTTGGTGGGAACTATTTTTGTTATATTGTTCCCTAGTAAAGAAGAAATGAAAAGGAATTATATGTGTAAAAAAGTTACTTGTAACAAATATTGACTGTTTAAGATTGAAGGATGAATGAGTATAAAAAAAATTCCTTTTAAATGGTGTATTTTGTTTGGAATGAAGAGGAATTCAATTGTTCTTTTTTATTCATTGGTCACCATTTAGAGCCCAAATGTGTTTGGTTGTGCTAGTGAAGTCAGAATGCTTGATTTAGTGAAAGGTTGATTTGAAGTTTGAACTTTGAACCATATAGCTGATTAAGGAATGAAATAAATCGCTGAAAAAGAAAAGAATAATCATATTTTGCATGCCTTAACTAACAATCGTATATTCGTATCTCAAAAAAAAAAAAAGAAACATTCTTATTTATATATCTTTTGACCATACCATTAATTACCAAAAGTGCTATATTCAAAATATAAGAATATATGACGTCGTTTCACTATATAGATACAACAAGTGTTCTAAGAAAACAGACAGACAAACAAAAGCAGTGTTAAGAGAAGGTTCTAGATAGTTCTAGAACGTTAAGTATTATGATGTATATTCAGAGAATAAAGTATATGGTAAGTGTATCTATAGAAATATATGATTCGGGATTTGGGTATCACGTTTGTAAGAGTGTATATAAGGCTTATGCCTAGGTCAAGAATAATCATACAGTTTTCCCAAAGCTCAATACTACTTTACAAGCAAAAATGATTTCTCTAAAACAGCTCATAGTTCTCTTCATAATGACTATGTTCACAAGTGCAACTATATCTCGAGCACAGACAACGACGACAGTGGTGATGTATAATGACCTTGGAGGTGGTTTACCTCTACAATACCATTGTAAATCGGGGGATAATGATCTCGGAGACCGGAGTATGGCACCAGGTGGATCATGCTCATTTAGCTTTAAACCTGATATCTTCGGCCGTACTTTATTTTTTTGCAGTTTTAGTTGGGGGACCGAATCGCATTATTTTGATATCTATGTACAAAAGAGAGATAGAGAATTTGAGAAATTGGGATGCACACACTGCGAGTGGAAGATACGCAAGAATGGACCTTGCAAGCGTAACAAAAACACCGGAATGTTTGATGTTTGTCTTCCTTGGAAATCTTAATTTTTTGAAACTATTTTATTAATTATATCAATGTGTAACTCTTTTTATTTAATTAATACCACAAATGGTTTCATTTAATATCAATACTTCCCCTTTGTCAACTAATAAAATAAGTTTCATTTAAGTTAAATATAAAAAAAATCATAAGGAAGTTTATATGCATGATAAGGGACTATATATAGTGAGCTTTTGTTAAACTAAATTTTTTTAACCATATAATTGAAGTGTAAATATCAAGATAAGACATTAATATAATCAAACATTGTTACATGCTAAATACATAACAGATATTGGATATTGATCGAAATCACTCGCACATTCTTAGTCTCATAAGCTCTCGAGGATCATTGGGGGCAAATGAAGTTGCATAAAATCGGAAACGGATATGCCGAAGAGAAATATTTGGAAATGTGGAAACAGGTGTATATATATGTATATATAAAATTTGTATTACAATTTTTTCAATTTCTGTATTTTAATCAATACTGATTAAAAATTTGATAATTCATCTTACAAAAAAGTTACTACCAAGTTTATGATTTGTTTTTTTTTTTTTTTGGGCCAACAATTGTATAGTGAAGAGGTTAAGAAAATGGTCGGACAGCTAAGGAAGATCGCTCTCCTCATCAGACAAAAAATTACAAGCGAGAATTTCTTTGTTCCTCTGCCACCGGACAGGACACGTCCATCATCGCCTTCCACTAACCTGCGCTTGACCACCTTATCCTGCGCCTGCATCTTATCCTGCGCATCTTCCCTTCCATTAAGACCTAGGGTTTTCTCTTTCTCTCTCTCCCATCATTCTCCCCCGATCTATTTCCATTTCATTTCATCCTCCAAATCCCGCTCCTTTTTTTTTGTTTTGAATCGAAACCCTAAAGGAGTAACCCCGAGTCTTACGGTTCCGGGATTGGGTTTTGGGGTTAGGGTGGGGTTTCTGAGAGATGTTGAATGTCAGGTTCATTGATGAATCTGTTTTCTCTCTGCTTCAAGCCATTCGGGCACATCTGCGATAACTCTGAGGCCGGATCGGGTGGCGTCTCAGGCGGAAGCGGCGGTGAAGGCAAAGACGGACTTCTCTGGTTCCGTGATCTCGGTAAATATTGCGGCGGAGAATTTTCCATGGCTGTGATTCAAGCCAATCAGGTACTCGAAGATCAGAGCCAGATCGAATCCGGAAACTTCGGTACATTTGTCGGCGTCTACGACGGCCATGGTGGTCCTGAAGCTGCTCGTTATGTCTGCGATAATCTCTTCAACCATTTTCGAGGTTCGTAGTTATCCTTTCAATCTCTGCAAGTGTTAAATCTTCATTTCCACTGTGATTCGTGATCGAGCTTCAGTAAATTGAATGGGGTTTGTGGGAATTACATAATCTAGACGAATTCGTTGACTAAATTCTGATTTTTTTCTTGGTTCAAGTCTCGTGAACGAATATGGTGATTGGTCAACAAAGTTAGGCACTTTGACTTTGAATCTCTTTGGGGATAATTAGACTTCCATTGCGCAAAATCTAATTGATTACAGAAAATTGCCACAAAAAAATCAGTACGAGTATGCTCCTCTTTTTCATATACGTTATCTGTGTCAAGTGTGAATCATTCCCGGTTCTGCTAGATTGTGCTTTGCTCCATTTTCTGTGGTTTGCCATATTTTTGCTATTGAAAGCGTTTGCTTGAGGGTACTTGGCTCTAGCATTGATGATGGAGTGTCCTGAGTTTTTACCAGGCTTTAGCCATCTCTAGGAGCGCAATGTACATTTTATGAAAGGAGGTTGAGCCTCTCTTATGTTGGGATTGCTCAGGCTTTATGATTATGCAGAAATATCAGCGGAAACACAAGGAGTTGTGACAAGAGAGACGATACAAAGAGCCTTTCATGCGACAGAAGAAGGATTCGCTTCTATTGTGTCAGAGCTGTGGAGTACGATGCCCAATTTGGCTACTGTTGGCACTTGCTGTTTAGTCGGAGTGATATATCAGAACACTCTTTTCGTGGCAAGCCTCGGAGATTCACGGGTTGTTCTCGGAAAAAAAGGCAACTGTGGCGGACTCTCTGCTATCCAGTTGTCGAGCGAACACAACGCCAACAACGAGGATATTCGTTGGGAACTCAAGGACTTGCATCCTGATGACCCGCAGATCGTTGTGTTCAGGCATGGAGTTTGGAGAGTTAAGGGCATCATTCAGGTAGTTTCTCATTCTCTCAAGCGCTTTCATTCTACTGTTACTTTCTCAGAGGAAAAAAAAGAGCAAATTTAGACATAACTAGGGACACATGTTCTACTGACTTTCATTGCAATGAGTTAAACAAACGTCATTAGCACCTGCAGTTTAGCACTGTCATAGAAGAGTAGGGTTTAGTGCTTAAGAAAGCTGATTCAATGCCTTATATTGGTTTTCTTCCTTTTACTCTTGCAAAATTTTGTCATGGCTCAAGTTGGTTCTGCTTTTAACTTTGTTTCCGTTATTCATAGTATTGGCTATAGCTGATTCTTGGCGTTTGTTTGAATTTGTACGTCTGGCTTCTCTATTATTCTTTTACGGGCAGAAAAAAAAAAACTCTTTTTTTCTAGTCTTTTAGTGGTGTCTCTTTTTTTTTTCTAAGTTGTAGAGATCTAAGAATTCCAAAAGCTGTAGAGGTTGCCTATTGCTTCGACTCAAAACAACTCTTTGTCCATAATTTCGATAATTGGCAAGTCATGAGGTAATTTATAAGTAGGGTTTCTGATGAACACTATGCGTTTTCACTGAACAAGCTAAAATATTCGTCTTGCCTTCTTTATGATGTCAAGTTACCAATGATTATAAGGTTTACAGTGTAGGTCTAAGGTAGTGAACAAAGAATTTCTAGTAATTTTTGCTATTTTAACTTTGGTTGTAGGTTTCGAGATCTATAGGAGATATGTACATGAAACGGCCAGAGTTTAACAGGGAGCCAATCAATCAAAAGTTCAGACTTGCAGAGCCAATGAAGAGACCGTTGATGTCTGCAACCCCGACGATACTATCTCATCCTCTGCACCCTAATGATTCGTTCCTCATATTTGCATCCGATGGTCTTTGGGAACATCTGAGCAACGAAAAAGCAGTTGAGATTGTTCATAATCATCCCCGCGCTGTAAGTTTCAAACAGATTGTTGACTTGCCGTGGTTAGTAGTTTTCCCATAGAGATTTAAGGTTTATTGATTGCATCCGGTAGGGGTTTCTGGTCTGGATAGGTTTCAAATAAGAGTTAAAAGTCATAAGTTTCCCTAAGTTTCCTAATTATTACTTCTTGGAATGTATAATTGATTTTTGGCGCTGTGTCTTCTTGTGTTCTCTCATTCTCTTCAGGGAAGCGCAAAGAGACTGATAAAAGCGGCTCTTCACGAGGCAGCGAGGAAAAGAGAGATGAGATATTCAGATCTAAGGAAGATTGACAAAAAAGTGAGGCGCCATTTTCATGATGACATCACAGTAATAGTTGTGTTCTTGAACCATGACCTCATCTCCAGAGGCCACACCAACTCAACTCAAGACTCACCACTCTCTATCCGGAGTGCTCTTGAACACTGAAAACATAAAAAAAGAATTACAAAACATTTTAAAAATGTTTCTTCCTTCTCTTACTTGGTTATATGACTTTTGCCTAGAAGGTAATAAGAAACTGGGCAAGTTCTGAAAAAAAAAAGTGAAAACGACATCTTACGTAATGAGTTGTTGTATTAAGCGGCTTATAAAGTCTGCACAGTTCTGTTCTGTTGACTAAAGTTTCTTGTTCTCAGTCTTTTCCAGTTTTTTGTCACGTGCCTTTTTTCTTTTTGTTAATGTTTATCTTTTATGCATGTGACAGTAAATCTGTAGTAACATAGATGTACTGCTATAACCAAACCATATGTAACTTCATCTTTTCTAATAATAATATGTGAAATTTTTGCAAAGGATCATTACTTTCAGGTCACTCAATTATACATTAAGGTCAAAAATGCTATTCAACACTGGCTGTTCTTTATAGATTAAGGTTACTCAATTAAGGCTTCGATAATGATTTCTTTCAAAAGTGGAAAGAAATATGCAGCTGTTTATTATATGTCTGAGGTGTGCATGTCTAGGATCTTTTAATCATTGATTTGATAGTGCATTAGTACTTGCAATCGCATAAGAGCAGTCGCACACTGGAACAATAGAACACAAACGAAATAATACCATTATATATTGTTGTTGTAACTCTTTAGAAGAAGAAGGGAGAAGAAGAAGGGAGAAGAAGACAAAAGAGAAAGATCAAGCAGCCTTAAGGAACCTCAAGGTCTCATCAATGTGTTTCTCAGGCTGGAACTGATTATTATAGATGAGCTGAACGACACCGTTTTTGTCAAGAACATAAGTCTGTCTCCCTGGCAACGCTCCAAACAAGTCCCCTGGTACTCCCCAATCTTTCCTCACCTTATTCCCTTCGTCGCTCAACAATGTGTACGGCAGTTTGTATTTGCTTGCAAACGCCTGCAATGTTTAAAAGTCCGGAAAATGAAAAAAAGCGGTTTTAAATACCGAAATCAGAGAGTCTTTTTGTATGTCTTACCTTGTGAGAAGCAGAGTCATCACCACTTATACCAATGACCTCTGCGCCGGCCTTCTTGAATTTTTCGTAAGAGTCTCTGAATGAACAAGCCTGTTGTACAAGTGAAACCATTTAATTACACAAAACTAAATACGTAAAGGAATGTGGTTAAGAAGAACGTAATAAGAGAACCTGCTTGGTGCAGCCAGGGGAATCATCTGCAGGATAGAAATACAGAACAACAGGCTTCCCTTTAAACTTCTTAAGGCTCACCGGCTTTCCGTTCTGATCCTTTAGTGTGAAGTCTGGTGCAGCCTGTCCCTTGTTAACCTGTTAAATATACATCACACCCACACAGATAAGTTTAAAGAGTGTCCCGAATTGGCCTAATGTAAGTTGGCCTTTGATGAACATGTTCATGAGGATTCTAGTATATTGGTTAATTTGAGGTCTGTGCAAGTTTGGTGTCTTCAGAACAAACCCTGATTACAAGTCTTTTTTAATTTGGTTTTCGGAATCTGTCTTTTTTCTGCACTACACTCGAATTCAGACCCAAAGACAATGTTTCTTCAACACAAGTGGGTTGCGGTTTAAAACTGAAAACCAATAACATACATACAGTAGGAACTAAATCTCAAGCATATACATTTTATACTTGCATGTTCTTCACCATAACTTAATAACTGCTAAAAGATTTAAGTATGCAGCACTTAAATCGTCTAAGCAGAAATAATGAATCACTCAAGATAATTATGTATTTACAAACAAGTTGGTCTGACAAAGCACCTGATCCTATAATTCGTTACCCGATTCTAGCGAACAAAGATTCTATCAATCGAATATGGGCAAGATTCGTGAAATGTACCTTGGCAAAGATTGAGCTTTTCAGAGAAGAGGAAGAGAGGGGAGAGAAAGAGGAAGAGTGAGAGAGTCTGAAGCCGAAGAAGTTAGATTCTGATGATTTGGTGGGAACTGAAAATTGGGTTTTGGTGTGAAGGGTGTTTCTGCGAGGGAGAGAGTGAAGGGTGGCGTGATTAGAGAAAGTGAAAGAAGAAGAAGCAGCCATTTTTTTTCCTCTACAAAGTTATCTCTCACTACCTCATGCACTTAGTTCAAGTAAATAAGAAGAAGAAAATCGAAGATAGGGAAAGATTGGTGACTATTGTAACACGTCAATCTGTTTTCAGGTTCGAAAGTTGTTTTTGTTGATGGGCTTTTGTATTTACAGGGCTTAGTAAAAAGCCCGTGTTTATAACCTTGGGTACTTTTCCAGTATTTTATCACGTGACTTAGTCTTTTCCAGTTTTTTGTCACGTGCCTTTTTTCTTTTTGTTAATGTTTATCTTTTATGCATGTGACAGTAAATATGTAGTAACATAGATGTACTGCTATAACCAAACCATATGTAACTTCATCTTTTCTAATAATAATATGTGAAATTTTTGCAAAGGATCATTTCTTTCAGGTCACTCAATTATACATTAAGGTCAAAAATGCTTTCGTTATATTCTAGGCAAGCCCTATTCAGCATTTTTATGTTAGCGCTTTCGATGAAACATAGCAAGGCAAGCCCTCAAACTCAGATCATTTAATAGATCAGAATAACAATTACAAACATTCTGGAGTTACAAACAGAAAAATCAGATTAAGCTTTCTAGGCTGCGTTATCCATCAAAAAGAAGTTGAATGTCAATCAACAACTCAGAGCCCAGTGCATATTCATCATCTTTTCTATTCTTAAAACTTCGAATTATACGATTCAACCAAAGAAACCAAAATTTTAAAAACAAATATTAGAATCCTCAGTGTAAAAATGCTTATAGCTTTTCATCAATAAATAAATCAGGTCTCAAAGATTTCATGCCATCATAGGATCCTCAAAACAAAAAAAAAAAAAAAAAAAAAAAAAAATCGAGACTTCCGATAAAAACCAAAGGAAACATACAAATAACGCGAATATAAAACGATAGTAGATTATTAGATCTAGCACGAGCTTATTCGCTATGCCTGATTCACGTAGGCGAAGCGACTCAACGCCCCTGCTAAAATTTATCGCCTCTCAGAGCAAAATTGATGAAAGAATCATCCCATAGATATTGAAATTCTATGGGAAAATCAATCAGAGGGGCGAATCCAATCCGGAAAAAAAAAAAACAAGAAACAAGAAACATGTACTAGCGAGAGAGATCGAATCGATTTGCTTTTCCTCGCCGGAAGTGTTACAAATATATACTCATGGATTTAGGAATTAGGGCTTCTCTCGGCGTAAAGCCATAAACATCAAAACAAAATGAGCCTTCCTTAATAATATATTAGTGGGCCTTTATTTCATTATAGGTCTGCAGGATACCCATAAGTCCATAACCTTGCAGTCCCGTTGGAATCTAATTTTGGCCCATGTCTATTTTCAACTTCTTTCTTCTTTTTTTGGCAACCTTTTTAATTTTGTTTTTTAAATGAAAAATGCGTAGACCTTTTTAATTTTGTCTTAAGACCTTATCAAATCAAAATAAATTTCCTTTAATAATACATTATATATTATGTCTTCATAGTCACAACTTTAATAATATAAGTTTGCTATGTAAAATAAGTGTATTATTTACGCAGAAATTATCCTTTCAATTATCTTATTGATGTCTACAATGCACACACAGACACACTACCTAATGTCAAATGTAAGGTCCGTATGACACATCAGTTACACTAAATACAAACTCATAGGTTTAAACATAGATTTTAATGAAAACGCCATTGTTGTTTTTATATTAAACAAATAAATATTAGTGATAAGGAGGAGATAATTGTAAATAAGAATAACAATAAATTATTCAACAGGATAGTGCACATCACATGGGGGGAGAGAAGGAGAACGACAGTAATTTTCGTGTTCATGTATAAAAATGAAAATGCGATTCTTTGCCTTCCTTTGTTATATTAAAAAAAAAAAAAAGGATTCGTCTTCCTCTCCACACCCTTTCTGCCACCTCATCTCTCCCACCATCTTCTCCGTTCCGTTCCGTTCTCAAATCTCTCCTCCAAAAGGTAAAATTAAACCCCTTAATCTTCTCTTAATCATCTCGCGACTACCGATCACTTTCTAATCTCTTCCCCGTTTCTCCGTCTCTGGATTTTCGATTCGTGTTTTACAGATCCTCGATTCGTATCCAACAGTTTCGAGTTTTCTCTGATTCTGATCCGATCGGATTTTTTTGAATTTTCTCATTTAATATTAGATAAAAAAAAACTCGCTGAGATTTGACCGGGGATTAATGGAGTCGGTGTCTCCGGTATCGAATCAGTTGCTTCAGCCGACGACGAGCTCCAGCTCCGATCGCTCTCGCCGGAAACGGAAGAAGAAATCGCCGCCGTCGGTACCTTCGTCTCCGTCTCCATCGGCGTCGTTGCAGAAATGGAGATCGGAGAAGCAGCAGCAGATCTACTCGACGAAGCTGGTTCGTGCTCTAAGGGAGCTTCGAATCAGTCAACCATCATCATCGTCGTCTTCGATTCCCGGAGGAGGTCGAGCCGTTCGCGAGGTCGCAGATAGAGCCCTGGCGGTTGCGGCAAGAGGCAAAACACTGTGGAGCCGAGCGATACTATCCAAAGCCGTGAAACTCAAATTCAGGAAACAGAAACGGCAGAGAATCTCGAATCCGGCGACGTCACCGGCAATCACCGGAAGTATCCGGTCAAAGAAACAGAGAGCGACGGTTATGAGGCTCAAGGCTAAAGGTTTGCCAGCTGTACAGAGGAAGGTGAAAACGCTGAGCCGGTTAGTTCCCGGTTGCCGTAAACAAACTTTACCGGTTGTTTTAGAAGAAACCACTGATTATATAGCTGCGATGGAGATGCAGATTCGCACCATGACTGCGATTCTCTCCGCCGTCAGCTCTCAGCCGCCGCCGCCGCCGCCGCCAGGTCATGAAGGGGGACAAACACACATGCTTGGTTAGTTGGCCAAACTGTCCTTTCTTATTTTTTTATCAATTTGAAAAAGAAAAAAAAAAGTGTTTCTCATTATTCTTCACTGTATTGTCTGCTGTTTACTATTCAACCTCTCATATCGTCATTTTAACATTCCATGTATATCCTTTTTCTTGAATCTCTCTGTTACTAAACAATAGTGCGACGACAAAAAATAAAATAAAAGAATAGGACAGTGATTGAGCTCTGTAATCGTAATAAATTTTCAGTTTATTGATAATCGTGGAAGCATATTTGAGCTTGTGATTTGGGTTTTCAATGTTGTTAATCTAGATAGCTACACATTATGACAAATCCGATTTAAATGTTTGGTTAAATAAATGATATATATATATGGAGGCAAATGCAGCAATTGGAAGATATAATTAGCTATTTTGTTTTGTTATGTTTGAAGTTAGGTTGTTGATTGGAATTGAATTCTCTTTGTTTTGATCTGTTATGACACTTATAAGACTGTTTCTTTTTTTCTTCTTTTGTAAATGGTACTGGGTTTATTTGGTAGTATATGGTTAGATTTGGAGATGCAAAAAAAGTAAAATAAAAAAATCTAGAGAGTTAACACAATCACATGGCTGAGGAAGACATAAAGACATGAATATGATGATGACTCACATGCTCCATTCTAAAAAGAGAGTCTATAATCGACCACTGTATATTTTTTCGCCAACTATTTATCACTGATTTCGCTAAAAATAATTACTCGGATAAAAAAAAAGTGAATAAAAAAGGCACTAAATCTTCTTCTTTCATTTTGGTCGGCCAAAAGGCACTGAATTTCGTGAAACTGTTAGTATTATTTTTGGAGGAAATGCAAATTCATGAAACATAATGTTGTCTGACACATGTCATGTGGCTTTTACATTATCTCCAACTTTCAATACTTGTTCAAAACCTTTAAACCCCACCAACACTTATATTTTTGTTGCACATGTGATGCATTCAATTGTGTAGACAATGAAATCTTTCAATAGATATACTTCAGAAGAGATGTAGCAGAGAAATCATGTTAATCAGTTAACAGTATAATCTGATGACAAAAATAAAACAAAAAAAAAAGTTAAAACTTTGAGGAATTAATTAAAGATTATATTTTTCTATAGAATTGAAAAGAATCTTACTAATAACAAACAATTTAACAAGAATTCATAAACTTTATAATATTTCGTAGCTTAGCTTACAATATACGTATTTATATAATATTGAATAGGTGCAATGTGCGTAGATAAGCATAAAATATTGCGTACCTCGACATTAATATGAAATGAAAACTAACTTTGGGTTTAATCTTATTGATGGTTATCATAAAACTATTCGTAATACGAGAGAGGAAGGACAACCATGTGTTCGTCAAATTAACTTGTGTCCACCAAAACTAAAGAAACTGAAAAAAGAGGAGGGCACATGGATTAAATGATTTTTGCCGTGGTCGTAGACTCTTAAGTGTGTATAATGTCACCATGAGCTTTAAGCTGCCTTTTGTTAACCTCTTTATAATTTGATTGTCAATAAAGACTATTTCCAATCACTTTTTTTTGTCAACTATTCGAGTCACTTAATTGTCGGTTTAGATTCACTGTATACATACACTTTTCACGATCATAAATTTAGCTGGAAGTGTTCATTTTGAAAGAGGCATTTAAAAAATTAAAGATTATATAAACTACTCTACAACATATAAAAATGTACAATGCTGCAAAATAAACTTGCACATTTAAATTTCAACAGAATGGTGAATTACTGTAAATAAGTTGATTTTATATCGCGTGCACAGAAATGAACCACAGTTAACTTCGTGCACACAGTAGTAATGTATATATGCATAGTCGATCTTAAAGCATGATTTTAGACATTTAGTTATACTTTAATTTATTAATAAAGATGATTTCTTTTATATATATACGAAAATGCACAACAAACGTTATATCGTGTGTTATTTGATAGATTATGGACACTATTATATTTATCAAGATGGTTCTTGTTCCGCCATGACGGTGGCCTGTCGTGTGCCGCTTTCCGAACCATACACGAGCCACTGACCACTCTTATTCGCACGTGAAGCACATCACCTGTTGGACCACACGTGTGCTCTCAGATTATCCGCTTGCTTTTTAATTTAAATCTACTATTCACAACCGGCAAAATAAAACACGTCCAATTGAATCTTGTTTTTTACGTCCAACTAAATCTATATAATGCAGACTTTTTCAAAATATAGTCACTCTGTTTTTGTTGTTTTATTTTTGTCAACAACATGGTCACTGTTTTACTTGTGCACTGGATGATATATTTTCTTAGGAAACTATGACAATTTTCAGAGTAAAGTTTCAAAAAATATATGGTTTTTACAAGCCTAACGTATACGACAAGAACAAAACGTTAAATTCACAACAAGAACAGATATAAACAAAAATTTAAATTGAAAATGTCGATAGGAATTATGCTACGTCGCTTGGTTGCTGTATTGAAACAAGAGATGGGCATTTCTCTGCTGTCTCATCTCTATCCACGACAAAGTTTGTTGGGTTGTCAAGTAATAATCTTCATTACTCTATTTCTTGTTAATATTTAGGTTTTTTTTTTGTATATCCGCATTATTCTTCACATTTTAATTGTCGATATGCAATTCAAGTTATTTCATATTTGTATTGGTTTTTTTAATATATATATATATGCATGTTTTTACATATTTTCAGGTACATACATATTTTTGAATACTATTTCTTCTCGGAAATTATTTTTATTAAACAAGGTCGACTGTCATATAATGTTGTCTCTTACGTCTTACCTCTACAAACAGTTTTTTTTTTTCTGTTTTGGTGGTTTTATGCCAATTGACGTTTTCGCGATCATGACGATACATTCTTACGTGAACCATAGGCGGGCAATTATTAACTATGCGATGCTGAAAATCGATGACTACACTATAAATCAGGACTCTAAAAGTCTAAACAATCCGTCTAATATAGTATTTGATTAGGTTTTCTAGTAATTCACCCCCCCCCCCAATTTTATTGTTGGGTGATCTTACAATAACGGAGTTACATTTACATCTAAATCAAGTTGGTGTAAGTTAAAAGTACTTGTTTTGTTATATAGTTCGTCTTAGAGACGCAGAAGTAGCAAGTAAATTGGCTAACAATTGTAATGCCATATACTAATATCGTACTAGGTGATAATTTAATTTTTGATCCATCTTTCCAAGGCCTAAAAAGGCAATCTAGCACGAGGTGCACACGCTACGATAGTAGTGGTTGTTCTCAATATCTATCTTTTAAGAAAAGGCACTACTTGAAAATCAATAATTGAGTGGCAATTAGATCCATAAAACTTGATTATGTTCGAATTAATCATAATCTAACCTTGATTAGTCATAAATTGACTTTCTAGAAACATGCGCCCGCAAGGTGTTGAATTCTTCACTTTTTTGTAGTTTATAATTTTACAAAGTTTTTGGCAGAATGGAAAAAAAAATTTCCATAGTCATCTCATTCCTTGGGCTACGAATGCTCATGCGATTTGTGTCCGCTGCTCTATATATAAAGGTTTGGAATCCCACAATCATCACTTCTTCGAATGCTGTTTAACTGCTTCCATTTGGTTTCCTTTTGCAGCATTTGTAAGGTATCAGCCGCGCTTACAAGTTTGCTAGTACTTTTTAAATGGATTATAAAGACTCCTAGTGAAAACAATTTTAAAATCTCTAAGTTCTTTTCTTTTAAGATACCGTTTACGTAAGTATGGCGCGAGCACAACTCTCAAAATTATTTATTTAATATCGTATTATTCATCTATCTCTTTTGCTGATTTTTAGATAAAATATAACTATTAACTATCCCTAATAACAAAAAATAGTTTTTTGTTATTCCAATTATATTTTGTGCTTTTCCTCGAGAGCCTAATTAGAGAGCTTGGTTGTAGTTGCGGTTAATTAGTACTATAAAGTTTAACATTCATTTAAAAATTTAGTCAACATTTTAGAGTGAAGGTTATAACATTTAACAAAGTTTACATGGGAGTTATAAATTTTAACACTCGAAATTCGTCATTTCCACCACTTATAAACACACTCATACAAAATTATTACCGTTTTCTAGTAAAATTGTTTTCATTTTTATTGAACCCTAATTGTTGCCAACTTACCAATAACTAAATCAAGAAAGAGAACAGAAATCAGTTCGGCCAAAATATTTAGCTCTAATATTTATACAAGCTAGGAAAAGCAGAAAAGAGACTTGTTAATTTTTCTAACACACACAAAAGAGAAAAACGTTGTCCCACAGCTCTTTAAACGCACGTGGGTAGGACCCTGGCCTGTCTAGTTTTCCAAAAAGCCGTAGAACACGAAAATAACAATTTATTATAACTGAGATAGAAAAAAAAAACTTTTATCAACGAAATAAACATTATCAATATCACAACAACGTCAACAACTAAAACTTCCAATAAAATTTGCGAAAAAAAAAACTATTGGACAGTTTAAAGTTTTTCCCCCTGATGGAAAAAAAAACTATTTAACCCAAAGTATATAATAATTTTTTTTCATGCTATTAATAAGCAGATTTCTACGTTGGGCCTAAATGTTAAATAGAGTATGATTGTTTGAAGTTGAACAGATTATTTAAGAGAAGGACCTTTGGGAGTGGTGTCCTTTGGTTCCTAGGAGCTACTTTCTTGGTTATAGAGATCTTTGACGTCTGCTTAGCAGCTTTGATCACGAAAAGCTCTTGTTAGAGCCTTAGAGGCTCCGGTTCAGATTCAGGGAGTGGCTACGGTTCAAGGTAGTGTAGTGGTTCTGGTGTGGTGGCGGAAACGGAGGTTCCAAACACTTATGGGCCAGGTTATGGAAGTGGCTCTAGATAAGACTATAGTATATAAAAAGAGAAATGATTTAATTTCATTTTATTACATTTGATTGCAGCATTATGCATGCAAATTAAGACCATGGAAACAAGAAGTTACAACAGAGATACTTTGAAGATAGAGACATAAACCTTATTTAGACCTTATTCATGCATTCGCTAGCAAACGTTATTGGTCATGACACTTAAAAACAGAAGGAAAAGACACCGTAATCGAACATAAAAGCACACATGTGACATGGTCGGTCTGGAATCAGTTAAGGGACTAAACTGAAGAGGCCAGAGACGATTTCGATGATGTTGAGGCCGCCGGCAAAGTTGCTTCCGACGATGTTTAACGGTGCGGTGAGGCTTCCGCTTGTAGGGAGGCTGGCGTTGCAGGTGGAGAGAGGGGTCGTGACGAGGATGTTGCAGCCGCCAGAGAGGAGTGTAGGAAGCACATTCAAAAGTTGGGTTGTAGGCAACGAGAATATTCCAGCAGCGTTCGTAGTCGTAATTGAAACATTTTGCCCAGCACACCGGAGCACAATGCCCGCATCTGTTTGTTTGTTTTAGCCGTATTAGCTTAAGCATATATTATGCATTTACAAATTTGTGAATATTCATTTATTTTCTTAGTCCGTACTACGTATAGGTATAAGGGAGTATATGTTAATTTATATTTTTGAATCTATAAATTTTAGTGTACACACAAATAGTATCGAACGTGAACATAAACAGCTACCCCAGAATCACATAATTCTACGTATACAGTTACATATTGCTTCACAATATTGTTGGTTATATATACAAACATGTTACCAGATATTTCTAATATCTGTTAAATTAGCTGGTGTTTAAATATATGTGATTTAACACAAATTTATGAATCCAATAAAAGACACTTTTTTTTGGTGTGTGTGTGTGTGATATCATTTGTAAATACTAGATAACATATACCTACAACAAAATCGGCTCTGGTTTGTAGAATCGATGCAAATTTTGTTGGGCCGGTTTTGCATGATTGATCAAAAGAGAAAGTAGAGACTGTAAAGTAGAAGAATGGAATAACTTACTAGGGAAAGGAGGAACGGAAGTGGCATTACTGGTAGAGACGGTGCCACTGATAGAGCACCTGACAAGCCCTTGGATATTGATGACATTGAGAAGGCCGAGAAGCCCACCAAGTCCACCAAGCCCACCAATCTGAGCCTTCGCCATTGGAGACACCACAATAAGACACATCAAGATCAATGAGAAGGTTATGTTCTTGTTCTTGAGCATTGCCATCGTTTTAGGATTACAAAAGACAATTGTATATGAAACTATATATAGGGGGAATGCTTTTTTTTTTTCCCTTTGTGTTGCTATTGGTTTTGGAATTTGGATGTGATACACTGTCTTCCCCTTGCGGCCTTGCATCCCTATTTATAGAACAAGTTTCATAGATCTCGCCCCTCCTATTTAATTATTTTGCTTTTATATTTTTTAAGTTAGTGATGATGCATGCGTTTACTTTGATTACAAGAACACTTCCATAGGTTTGATCGTGAATTCGAATCCTAAGCTATTGTAATTTCAACTGTGTATAGTAACATTCTATTTTATATTATTTGTCCATATTAACTGACTCCAAGAATATTTATGTGATTTTTTTTCTTAAAGGCATATCCTTAGAATTGTCGGGTATTGAAAAAAAAAATCGATGTTTTAAAACTGAACCAGTCGTAAATCGTAATCGTAAGTTCGAATTCATGCATGATATTTTTACTGAGTTTTTGGGTTTGTGTAAGTTTGGAGCTAGATAAGAAAAAACATAACTATAACTCTATAAGTACTAATTTAATTAACATAATTATATCAGAAAAAGCTTGGTCAAGAGAAGAGATGGAAACCACATGCAACGTAAAGAGAGATGAAGAAAAGAAAAAAATATTGGACTAAGTTTTGTTCAAAAACAACATGAAGTTTTGTTCAAAAACAACATGAAGTTTTGAAATCCTTAAAGTTGATTCAGAAGCTCCAACTACTTGTAAAATGTAGACCACCATTCGTGCTTCTCTTTGATCTCAAACGTATTGAATTCCTAAAATTATATATGGGTTTGTCAGATTTCATTGTTATATGCAATCTAAGAGGTGAGATCTTAATTGTTTTTATTGGTTGATAGTTTGCGAGAATGCATCATGTTTAATTATGATCCTTTTCTTTAGTTTTTATAGTGTCGGTACATATTCAGACTTCAGTGACATCCATTTGGCCATCTGGGGGTTTTAGTTTTTATGGTATTATAGACGTAGGAGTTTTTTCGTTAACAGATCTTTATTTGACAGAAAAAAAAGAGAGTTTTTGGGAGTTGTTTCGTTAATAATTTAGTCGAAGGGTTTAAAAACAATCAAAGTTACACAGAGCAGATCCGCCATCCAACTTGTGTCATAGTCTCATAGATTGGTCCATTAAGCTATTTTTAATATTCGATTTTGAGTTGAATCGCTCGTTTTTAAAGCTATCACAAAAAGTGACCTCATATGTAAATGTGAATAAAATTCTACTAAATTCCACGGGACCAGAAAAAGATTCATCCACATCACGGTTAGTCGTCTCCCGATCAAGTTGGCAACTTGGTACGATGAGTGCTCGCTCAATCAGTGTTTGAAAGACATTACATAACCCTAAGAAAGCCACTCGGTACGTGTAGTAGTTCACTAACCAAGAAACTCAAGTAAGTTGTAATAACAAGACAAGATTTTTTGGAAATATGATTTGTCCTTACCATAATAAAGGCTGTAGTGTATTTTTGAACTTGTTTTCGTTCCTGGTTATGAATCCAAATTAAAATTAATTATATGTGGAATATATAAGTATATGGTTTGGCATGTTGAAAGTTGAATTATGCTTAATTTTGTTATTCGTGGATATTTTTGGTTTGTGTTGAATTTGGCAGAATTTTTTCAGGCGTTTGCTTCATTGTGCTGTTGGGTATTGGAGAAGAGTACTTTCGATTTTCATGTTCTCTTGTAATTGTGAAAAATCATATGGCTTATTTACCACTATGCCATCTTATAGTAGATATGATTATCATATTGTATGTCTCTTGTACATATTGTAAATAAGTTGTAAGATAATGTCTTCAGATATACGATTTGGAATTTGTGATTGAATTACCAATTAAGCTGGTCTCAAAGAAGTTTAAACTCTTTGAATCTTTGTGATCCAATATCTAAATACAAAGATCCTTCTCCAGAAAACTTACAGCATGCTGTTACGTTGTTGCAAAACTCTCCCCTAAGAAGGCTAAAATTCTTGATGTTGTCAGCTGATGCAAAACAAATTAATGCATTTTCTTTTTGAACGAAACATGGTTCATTATCTTGCAGAACTCTAAAGTTGAAAGAGCTAAGATGGTTACTCTTTCGAATGGAGAGCCATCACTCGGACAGATTTCTTATAGTTAATGTGTTAGAGTCGTCATCGTTCTGCTTAACTTATAACATCAAGTCACCAAAGAATAGATTTGTCATTTTGTTATAGTCCAACCCCGAATACGATCGATGAGAAGGGAGTGGGGGAAGGAAATCAAAGTACAAAAGATAATTAAGTTTGAAGCGTACCATATCACTATATCATCAGAGGTTTAAACTTTAATGGCCGAGTCATGAGAATATGAGATCCAGTAACTAACAACTCACCATCGATCAAAGACACGGGTGAGTTTCAGATGCTAATGTTTATTGAAAGAAAATCATATGACTGTACGTTTGAGCATAAAATAGCAGTTTGCCGCTTCTTTTGCCACAATAACAACAAGGGACAGTTTTATATGCGGAGAAAGGACGGGTGAAAAATAAGAACGGTTCAAAACATTTTTGTCATCTCAAAAGTTTCAAATATTTTTGAACTTAAGATAAATATCTGTTGATAAAAAAAATAAAAAATTTAGTTAGCCCTGAATTTCATAAGCTAGCCCTATTGGTTTTTTTTTTAATAAAAAAGTAACCAATAGACTCAATACGAATGCAGTATAGTCAAGTTTGGACCTCGTTTTGCATAATTTTGGATGGTAACAAGAAATTCGAGTCGAAGACCCAACCACAAATTCAAAACTAACTCTCTCTCTCTCTCTCCCTTAGATGAAAAAAGGTAGAGGCCACGTACTTGAATAAGTACACACAGAAGCACTTAACGAATATTTTACCATGTATTGTGAACATTTTTTTTCCAAATATGATAATACTTAACATTTCCAAAATGTTGGTTGATGGATCTTCGATACGTTAACACGTGTCTATTAAGCTTATTTTCTCTATTAAGAAATTAGACTTTATAGATATGAGCCATGACGAACACGACACTTGTTCCAATATTATACATCAATTAAAATATAATTTGGGTTGATATTGGAGGAGTGGCGATGGCAGTATCATCACCAAGAAGAGCACTAAGAAATTGCAGGCCCACTTAGCTCACACCATTGTTCACAGTTCACACATACTGGTCAAAAAGAAGCTACTGGAATTTACGTGACTCTTACGCTTCCACTATTCTTGGTTCCTTATAAGTACCTACTCAGACCAACATTCTCTACCACCAGTAAATCCTACATTACACAGGACTTCTCGAGCTAGCTTTCTTTCTTCTAAAACGTTCACAAAGTAAAATCTGTTTATTAGTGGCTGATTTGCTTGGTTCTTATAGTTAAGAAGTTATGAGAAGAATGGGAAGCCTCAGGTTATTAGGAGTTACTTTCTTGGTTTTAGTTGTTTTTGACGTTTGTTTAGCAGCTAGATCTCCAAAAGCACTTGGTAGAGGTTCCGGTTCAGGCTCAGGTTCCGGATATGGTTCAGGCTCTGGGGGAGGAAGTAGTGGAGGAGGAGGTGGTGGTGGTGGTGGTGGCGGTGGCGGTGGTGGTGGTGGTGGGGAAGGATCAGGTTCAGGGAGTGGCTACGGATTACGCATGCCTCT